TTTTTTTCTCCATGCAGGTAATGTTTCAGACCTGTTTGGTTCCTGGGAAACACTATTGCTGTCCATCTTCTCTGACATAAAGGTTCCGGTCATGCCTTCTCAGATCATTCACTGCAACTTTTTCAGCCAGTTTCTTGTGTATTGGTACAATTTGTTCAGCATCTTCCCTCCCAGTTTCTGCAGTTGAAACAGTGTTATGAGGCTAGGCAGCAGAAGTCCTCTGGCAGCCTTCATTCCACATCAGGTTTTTGACTTTTGCAACTTTCTGATTTCCTTGTGCTGTTGGTATTTTTAGCTTTTTTAATCCTCACTGCTGTCCTGCTCAGTTAGTAACCTCCAAGCTTGCCAAAGATTCTTTGGCCTTCCCTGTCCCCGGAAAAGCTGCTGGTTCTCAGCCATCTGGTTACTGGTTCCTTATTCATTTATTTTGAACTTGTTCCAGCTTCTGCTGCCCCTAAAAAATTTTACCTCCAGTCTCAGGCCATCTCCCAAGCCTTTCAGCAAAGCCTTCAGATGTTGCTTTAATCCCTTCTGCAAGGTCTCATGCTCTTTTCTCGGGTCTTTAGACCTCATTTTAGTCACTTGTGATAGCCTCCATTTCTGCAGGTTTTGTTCATAGAATTCCACAGGAAGTCTCAGTGCATGGCAGAGCACAGCATTCCTGTTTTCCTTTCTCTACTGGAAACAGCTCATTTGATATAACTTAGAATTGCATTTGCCTACTTGGCAAGCCTGTAACATAGCATCTCATGGTCAGAATGTGGTAAGTAACAGAAGGAGGTACTTTATTTCCCCCTTTTGCTTTTCTGTGTAATGAACTTCTGGCTTCAAGCAGGATTCCGATTCATCTTTAAGGACATTTTGCATGATTACAAACTACTTTCATTTTATTTGTAAAGGCCAACATCTCTTCCTGCTGAATATTCCCATCCTTCACTTTATAGCTGATGCTGCCATGTTTATTTATTAAAATAAACCCAGTTATTTATTAAAAATATAAATCTTCTTGAGAAATTCCAGGAGTGAAATTCCATTTGAGCATAGCCAACTCTCTCGTCTTCTCTAGAGAGCTTCTTTTCCACCTCGTAGCTCTCCAGTGACCCTTCAGTCTCCTACTAGATGCTGTGTGCTGTAGTCCCCTCAAAAATGCTTTTGGTTTAGCTACAGCACTCAATTTCAAGTTTGAGCCTGACTCAGATGAAGCTGTTTTCCAGATCTGCTTTATACTTCAAGGAGCAAGCATGTTCAGGGCACAGTTCATCTTGTCTTGACATGGGAGTCTGAAACAGGTCAAAAGAGTAAGATCTGCAAGTGCTCCTCTACCCCTCTTGAATAGAAAAAGACATTCACAATGCTAAAACAGGAGCAGACGACTAAAGTTAAGTGGAATTGTCTACCTTCTAGAAACTTGTACAGCCTCTGAAATACCTTCCAGGATGTTTTTAGGGAAGATGGTAGGGGAGAAACTGCACAAGCAGCTAAAACCAGCCTCCTGGACATCCAGAAAACTTCCTACAGTTTTGACTGGACTTCTTTTACATGTCTCCTGTACTGATTCCTCCCTGTGCCATTTTAAGAAATTTGAGTGAATTAAAAAAACCTCAAAGTCACTTTTTCATTTCTCACTTAGAAGTGGTACTATTTTAAATATAGTTAAAAAGTAATACTAGTGTGCACCTTTTACCAGCCTTCTCAAAGCTGTATTAACTGTGAATTCATTTTAAAATTGTGTTTGCAGTTATTTGTGTTTGCTTTTCTCCCAGTCACAGCTGCCACGGGGAAAAAAGAAATCACATGAAAAATCCGGTGAAGTTCCATACCAAGGATACAAATTTGGACTGCAACTCTAGAATTATCATCTGAGAAAAAAAAAAAAACAAACATCTGTAAGTCATCATTTCTCATGCTTGGTATGCTTCTCGTGCTCGGTATGCTTGGTAGCATTACAGCTATTGCTACATAGCTGTAGAATTTTCTCCCACACTTTAGGTCTGATCCTGCCCATACTCCCAGCAACACCTCCATTAGTAATACACTGATTATCAGGGGCTTTGTCCAAGTTCAGTACTGGGGGCTGTTCAATATTGCCAGAAAATTTGTTTCAGGAGTGCTGAAGGTAACACCAACACCGGCTCTCCATCCTCAAAGGCATTTTTAATATGGAGGATACAGTGATACAAAAATATGTCTAAGCAACAAAACTGCCCTATCCAGAATAATATCCAAAGACTCCCAGAGACGCCACCTTAAATTTAGGAACCTGCCTCTATTTGGGAGCCCAAAACTCTCAAAGCCACAGGACTGCTACTAGAAGACAAAAGGCAGTAGGAAAACATATAAAAATCCAATGTAACTCTTGAATAGCCTCTGCTGCTCCATAATAAGAGAATAATAGTGTGTGACCCTCTTATAGCACTCTATCTGGGGATCTCAGTGGCTACACAATGGATGAGTTAGTTTGTCTCTTAGCCTAAAATAGAAAAATGTCCAAAACAGAGCTGTGGGAACACAGTATCTCTCCAGTTCAAATTACAAGTCTTTGAGAGCTCTTCAAGGCATGGAGAAAGCCTTACTCATGGAGTATACCTTGTTCCATCTCCCTGTAAACCATCTCCATGGTTTAACTCCAGCTGGCAACTAGTACCATGTAGCCACTCACTCACACACGCCCTGCTGTGGATGGGGAAAAGAGTAGGAAAAAAAAGAAAAACCGATAGGCTAAGAACAGTTTAATAATGGATATAAAATAATAATACTAATATAAAAATTATAACAATAAAAGTAATGAAAAGAGAGACAACAAAAAGGAGAGATATAAACCCCAAGAGAGGCACATTATTCTCAACACAATTGCTCTCCACTCACTGACCAATGCCCAGCCTGTCCCTGAAACATGATCAGACCCAGACAACTCCCTCCAATTTATATACTGAGCACGATGGTCTGTGGTATGGAATATTCTTTTGGCTAGTTTGGGTAGTTTACAGCATTCCTGGCTACTCTCCCTCCTGGCTTCTTGTGTGCCTTCTCATTGGCAGAGCATGAGAAACTGAAAAGTCCTTGACTTTGGGTAAGCACTACTTAGCAACAACTAAAACATCGGCGCGATATCAACATTGCTCTCATACTGAATCCAAACCACACCACTGTACCAGGAAGAAAACTAACTCTATCCCAGCTGAAACCAGGGCGCTCTCCTTTGGCACCACAAGGACGCAGAAAAGCTGAGCGTTGCATGGAGCATATCAGAAGCAGCTTGGCATTTCTTTGCTACTGTTTCTGGGCTGGTACTTGCTTTCAATGCTTGCAATTTTGTGTACTAAAAATACTAAGTAAACTTGACTTATTTTATAAGAGAGGTTGAATGGGAGGCTGTATATAAGGTACTATCTAATGCACTGAACAGAAAGATAGAGGTAATAAGGCATATGTGTGCCCTCTGTATGTTAAAACTTGCTTTTTCTTGGCATTTCACACTCAAATTCTGTTTGACAGAGAAATTCATGCTAACACAAAGAAGCTTTTCACCAGAATTTGAGGTGCAAGAATATGTACAAGATTTTTTCAGTAACTCATTTGTTTTAGCGGCCTGGAATAGTGCATAATTTATCCTGAACACCAGTCAACTAAAGTATTACTCATCCAATAGCTTTATTTTTAAAATCTTTCTAAGACATTTTCTACCAAGTGCTGCATAGGGTATAGTCCTCTAGACATCCAAACAGCTCTTGACTGCACATTTTTAAAACCCTCAAACCGATGGCTCCAGGCAATGAGTTCCAGGACATTAGAGCTAGGACACTGTTTAAACATAAACATCCTAGATTGCAGTAGCCCTTGTCTTTGCCTCTCTCCCCTGGAAGGTGATGGCTTCCCATGTTCAAACAAAACACTTCTGCAAAGCTAGGTCACTTTCTTGGTAACAACACTAAACAGGCTGGACTCAGTGTAACCACTATCCTTGACACAGCTTGTTCAGCGTGTGGGGAAAAATGTCAAAACTAAACCAGTAACGACCTCCAGCCAGCCAATTCTCTCAGTAGGTTAAAAAATATACATGTTAAAATGCCAGGACTGTCTAACATTTCGCTTGAAATCCTCAATAGCAACACCCCTTTGGTACTGTAGTGGGAAAAAAAGAGTATAAAAAAAATCTAAGATCTACAAAAAGGCCCTTCAACTTTAAAGTGAATGTATTCTTGGAGAAGTGAAGGGTCTGTTGTGCAGATGGCTGTTTGCTCTCAATGCTAGAAGCAGACACTCCTCAGTGAGGAGGAAAGGGGAGTCAGATAGCGTATTACCATGCAAAAGCAGCAAGCTCTGCCTATGATGACTGCAATATTAACTCCCAGGGCTTCCTGCGGCTGAGAGGCAGCAGCGGCAGCAGCAGCAGCGAGTTTCACTTGCCCCCTGCCCCCCACCCCCAAGCTTCCAGGTTCAATAAAGATTACATCATGGAATAAGTATGCCATGTAAGCCTGAGAATCAAAGCCGTCACAATTGGCGGCTGTTTAACTGTAATGTCGCTGAAACACATACTCCCCCTATGTGCACATGCACTTTCCCCCTCACCCCTCCCAGCCCATCCCGAACCCTCCGTGGCTCCTACGATTAAGGGTAGTATTATCGGGGAGAGGAAAATCTGATCAAAACTGTCGACTGCAAACTGCCGATTTTCTATGGATTCAATAAAGGCCACCTTAACGATTTCCCTAATTAATGGATGACATCTTTGGCTGGAGGAGAGGCGCTGTATTCTACTCTGGCTTAGTCTTTGTTAACCTTCTAATTAACTTTCGTAGGTCACCCAGGTCTCCCAAACCTAAAAGTGAAGAGAGCCATTGTGCTAGAAGCAGTAAACTTACTTTTTCTGCCTGGGTACTTAAAAGGGAGAATGATTATAGGCAGGGAAAAATAACTCCATTTAAACTCTTTGTGACTGTGGAGAATGCATAGGTCTCTGCCTTAGAAAATAATTGAAACACCTTTTATACCAATATTTGCATGCATAATACACCAAATTAGCAAATATACATCTAAATTCAGCTGCAGTTGCACATTGATTAGGGATTTGGAGGGGTTTTTTTGGATCTCCTTTTTTTTTTTTTTTTTTTTTTTTGCATGTCAACTTCAGTGGGTCAACAAAAGGAATTGGATTTCTTGATCAAATTGCAACTGCAACAGCTATCAGCTTTTACATGGCATGATCTCCAGCAAAGAGTCTGTGCTAATAGTACACACACATGCATTCTAACACTATAATATTAGGCCAGATTAATCCCTGTGGTAAGACCATTGAAGTCAATGGAATTGTATCAGAGATGAATTTGGTTCACTGCCTTTTGTGGAATCTAATATGAATTGACCATTGAGCTGGAGGCATCAAAGATGATAAATGCAGCCCTCTTTCAAACAGTCTGATGCAACCCAAAAAAGGGCAGGCAGAAGGCATTTAGGATGGGTGGCCTTTTCTTCTGTCTACAGCTTTCTCAGGGAAATTCTGCCCTCATTCACGCCCATTGACTGAAGTCAATTAAATTATTTTAATAAATTGTAATTAAAATTCACAGTGTACAATGAAAGATTGAAACTTCATAGCACAACTTGACTAATAAACCTGAAGTTAATTGCTTCTTCAAAGTAAAGATTGAGAGTGCTTCTTTGGCTTACGGAAGAGACATGAAATTAATTGTTCCTAGTTTTTTCTACTCAGCAGAGAATAACAGAGTAGAGTAAAGGAGAGTAATAATTGTTCCCCAGTATAAACATACAGATGTACGTCCCTGCACAGATATCTGACTGTGTAACCCATATTCTTGGACAGAATGAACTGAGCTTAAAATTTATGTTGAAAAAAATAGAGCAGTGTGGTTTGGTGAAATTTTTGGATTAGCTGAGGAGGAAGCATGATATAGTGATTAAAAGAGACCTGAAAATCAGGCTGTCTCCAGACTTACCCCTTACTGCCATTGTTTCACAGTGGAAACAGGCGGCTTTGACCTTGATTTAGTTTCTCCACCTTTAGAGAAGTTACGAGTCACTGAAGTAGCATTAAAAAAACAGAGGCCTTGACTGATCAGATATGAAAGTTGTAGTCATGAAAAATGCAACACGCTAAACTAAAAATGTGAGTTTTTTTAATTCTTTTTTTGATGGTTGGATTCTGCCATCATGCACATATTTTCTAGTGGAATAACTGGCATGTAAGATGACATCTACTGCTTCTTTACTCTCCGATCAAGTGGTGCGAAGTATATTAATCATCCTCCCAAGTGTCTCTTGATTGTCCTAGAAACACCTTGGCTGTGGATACATAACTCTGAGGATATCTGAATCGTGTCACCTTTCAAAAATATCTTCAGTTTATACACACCTTTTACATTTCTGCCTGCGAGGTCCTGAAGAAGTTTTGGCGTCATGTGGTACTGATTGATGAGGAAAGACAATCAAATTACATGTATGAGACCAAGATACAGAAAAATGCAGCTCGCCTTCCCTCCCTCTGGAAGCTTCTGCCACTGGACAGCTAGACAACTACTGGAGGCCCAGGGCTCTATCCTGCTCCTACTGAACATGACAACCAGGCAGCGTTTTACGTGACCATTCAGAGGAGAGATGAGTGATCCCACATCAATTGTAATGTATTGCCCTTTATAGCTTAATGACAGCTTTCAGGGACCCCAGTGTCAGGCTCTGCCTCAGAAGGAGTATTTGTACTAAAGCAAGAGGTCTTCAAGGAAGGGGATCACTGTTTAGGTTTGCTGAAAAACTGGGTTCATTCTCAGACACCAAAACAAGCCTCCCACATGACAAGGAGCTGGGACAATTCACCTCACCTGACTATTAATATCCATGTGAAGTTATCTGCATCAGTGGGATCAGGGGGCACAATCAGAAATAAGGTAAACCCCATGGGTTGCCATATGAACAGTTTAATAACTGAAACAAAACATAATAATAACATTATGATAATAGTTGTAATGAAAAGAGAGACAACAAAAAGAGAGAGAAAAATAAAACCCAAGAAAGAAAGACAAGTGATACACATAAAATTGTTTATCACCCAGTTTATATATTGAGCAAGACATTCTAAGGCATGAAATATCCTTTTGGCTAATTCAAGTGCCCTGTTCTGGCCACACTCCCTCCCAGGTTCTAGTGCACCTCCTCTTGGCAGAGAATGAGAAACTGAAAAGTCCTTGACTTAGAGTAAGCAGTACTTAGCAATAACTAAAACACCCGTGTGTTATCAGCATTTTTCTCAAACTGAATCCAAACCACAGCACTAGGAAGAAAACGACTTCTATCGCAGCCAAAACCAGGACACTTAGTAATGAACATAACAGACAATTTAAAACTTGTTATTTCAAATGAAACAAATGATCTGTGATAAAAATATTTCACAGCAGCTGGGACATTCATTATCTGTCTTCTGACACAACACACTGGGTTGTGTGTACCCAGAACTGGAACTGACTATCTGACTCTGACATTAAAGTCATATTTCACAGTCTGTGATAGATGCCTCCCTCCAGCTCAGCCCATCGTTTTCCAGAGGAAATTAATTATTTTTGCCAGATAGCCTTGCTGTTAAATTAAATTATGCTCAGTTGTCATCTACAAATAGTGACAATTTCATATGAATAATAATAAAAAGGATTTACAGACAGAGAGTGCAAGCCAGGGCTCCTAAAATGCATTTAATTTGTCTTCTTGCCACAGAAACACAATTTTTTTTAGGTCAAACTTGTAGTGAAGTGCTGGGCACATATCTCATTGAATCCACTGCCTTGGCAAGACTGGAGTTGGACCTGAGGTACAGCAAATGTTCCAACTCCATTGCCTAGACTAGAAATTCCACCCTACCACCTTCTCAGCCCTGAGGAGTGTGATGAGCTGCTTTCCCAGACCAGGAGGCTCATATGGGCTTTCTCCATCCTCCAAAATTTTCTGTGGGGGAGAAGCCCATGAACTCAACACAAACAGAGATGTCATCCTTCCCAATTTTAGAGTGAGCTCAGCTCTTAAAAGTGACCTTATACAAAGCAGAGCGAGGCTGCACATTTGCTGCATCTTGGTGGCTTTCACACCAAATATGTTTAATTTACACACACACAAAAAAAATAGTGTTTCTTTCCCTGCTTGGCGCTCTGGCAGAAGCAGAAGGCTTGATCATCTCTGACGACCTCAGCGCTCTGCAGCGCTCAGCTGCCCCCACAGGGATGTTACATGTTTACCCAAGGGGGCTGAAGAGGTGACCCTGCTTGAGGTGAGCACAGTGCAGCCCCATGCAACTGGCATCCTGGTACATACCAAATGGAGACAACTGGGCTCGTTTAGCCTGCAGGAAAGGAAGCTCAGAGGAGCCTTTTATCACTCTCTACAACTACCTGAAAGAAGGCTGTAAGGAGGTGGGGGATGGTGTCTTCTCCCAAGTAGCAAGCAATAAGATGAGTAGTTGTGCCAGAGGAGGTTTAGATTGGATATTAGGAAAAAATTCTTCACTGAAAGGGTTGTCAAACATTGGAACAGGCTTCCCAGGGAAGTGCAGGAGTCACCATCTCTGGAGGTACTTAAGACATGTAGATGTGGCACTTGGGGACATGGTTTAAGGGTTGACCAGTGTTGGGTTAATGGTTGAACTCAATGATCTCTAAGGTCTTTTCCAACCTAAACAATTCCATGATTCTATAGCATTTCCATGTCTGTTAGATGTGAAAAATCAACTCTACCCTGTTGCCTAACTTGTGCCAGCAAACATAGTGCCCAGTACATGAATCACCTAAGTAAAGTTTCAGTGCAATAGGTCTGCTTCTCTTGGTAGCCAAGAGCCATCTTCCTTCTGATATAAAATAGCACCACTCTCATTCTTGTTTCTCCACAGGCCCCTGTACAGTGTCAGAGCTTTTTGGATGACCTGGACTAGACTTACAAAGAAGTCTCAGACACAGTAAGGTTGACTGAGCTGCTCAGCATTGTTCAGTATTAGAGATGTAACAAAACTAAAGACTTTATCCCCAAAGTATGGCATTTTAAGCACCTCCTGGTCGATATAGGCACCTTTATGTTGATCTTGGGCCCTAAAGAGAAAATTTGAAGAGAAAGGAAAGCATTTTGCTCAGCCCTAGTACAAGAGCCCATTGCTGAACACTAGATTGTGTAAGTAGAGAGCAGCAGCAACAGGCTCTGAAGGCAGGTCCATCTGTCCAAGATGAAAATCTGGATATCTGAGAAGTTCTGAGGATTCCAAGGGGTTTATACGGATGAAAAAGAAAGCAACAGAATCCACAGGTTCTTCCCTGTCTGCTGTTGCTTTGTTCAAAGAGTGTCCTTTGTACTTCCCAACTACACCAACTGAGGCAGGGCCATGGGCTTTGGAAACCCTTATGGCCATGCCTGAAACTAGATTAATATGTAAAAATATGCA